CAGAGTGTCAATACAGCAACACTTCTTCTCTACTGAACACTTAAAATCAGAATATGACAGAGTGTCAATACAGCAACACTACTTCTCTACTGAACACTTAAAATCAGAATATGACAGAGTGTCAATACAGCAACACTACTTCTCTACTGAACACTTAAAATCAGAATATAACAGGGAGTGTCAATACCGCAACACTTCTTCTCTACCGTACACTTAAAGTCAGAATATGACAGACTTCTTCTCTACTGAACACTTAAAATCAGAATATGACAGAGTGTCAATACAGCAACACTACTTCTCTACTGAACACTTAAAATCAGAATATAACAGGGAGTGTCAATACCGCAACACTTCTTCTCTACCGTACACTTATAGTCAGAATATGACAGAGAGTGTCAATACAGCAACAATTCTTCTCTACTGAACACTTAAAGTCAGAATATGAAAGAGTGTCAATACAGCAACAATTCATCTCTACTGAACACTTACACTCAGAATTTGACAGAGAGTGTCAATACAGCAACAATTCTTCTCCCCTAAACACTTAAAGTCAGAATATGACAGAGTGTCAATACAGCAACAATTCATCTCTACTGAACACTTACATTCAGAATTTGACAGAGAGTGTCAATACAGCAACACTTTTCTACTGAACACTTAAAGTCAGAATATGACAGGGAGTGTCAATACAGCAACAATTCTCCTGTACTGAACACTTAAAGTCAGAATATGACAGAGTGTCAATACAGCAACAATTCTTCTCCACTGAACACTTAAAGTCAGAATATGACAGAGAGTGTCAATACAGCAACAATTCTTCTCTACTGAACACTTAAAGTCAGAATATGACAGAGAGTGTCAATACAGCAACAATTCTACAGTACTGAATACTTAAAGTTAGAATATGACAGAGTGTCAATACAGCAACAATTCTTCTCTACTGAGCACTTAAAGTCAGAATATGATAGAGTGTCAATACAGCAACAATTCTCCTGTACTGAATACTTAAAGTCAGAATATGACAGAATGTCAATACAGCAACAATTCTCCTGTACTCAACACTTAAAGTTAGAAAATGACAGATATTGTCAATACAGCAACAATTCTTCTCTACTGAACACTTAAAGTCAGAATTTGACAGAGAGTGTCAATACAGCAACACTTCTTCTTTACTGAACACTTAAAGTCAGAATATGACAGAGTGTCAATACAGCACCAATTCTTCTCTACTGAATACTTAAAGTCAGAATATGACAGGGAGTGTCAATACAGCAACAATTCTTCTCTTCTGAACACTTAAAGTCAGAATATGACAGGGAGTGTCAATACAGCAACAATTCTTCTCTACTGAACACTTAAAGTCAGAATATGACAGGGAGTGTCAATTCAGCAACAATTCTCCTGTACTGAACACTTAAAGTCAGAATATGACAGAGTGTCAAGACAGCAACAATTCTTCTCTACTGAACACTTAAAGTCAGAATATGACAGGGAGTAGCAATACAGCAACAATTCATCTCTACTGAACGCTATAAGTCAGAATATGACAGAGTGTCAATACAGCAGCACTTCTTCTCTACTGAACACTTAAAGTCAGAATATGACAGGGAGTAGCAATACAGCAACAATTCATCTCTACTGAACGCTATAAGTCAGAATATGACAGAGTGTCAATACAGCAACACTTCTTCTCTACTGAACACTTAAAATCAGAATATGACAGGGAGTGTCAATACCGCAACACTTCTTCTCTACCGTATACTTAAAGTCAGAATATGACAGAGAGTGTCAATACAGCGACACTTCTCCTGTATTGAACACTTAAAGTCAGAATATGACAGAGAGTGTCAATACAGCAACAACTCTTTTCTACTGAATACTTAAAGTCAGAAGATGACAGAGTGTCAATATAGCAACAATTCTTCTCTACTGAACACTTAAAGACAGAATATGACAGTGAGTGTCAATACAGCAACACTTCTCCTGTATTGAACACTTAAAGTCAGAATATGACAGAGAGTGTCAATGCAGCAACAGTTCTTCTCTATTGAACCCTTTAAGTCAGAATATGACAGAGAGTCAATACAGCAACAGTTTTGACATTGAAGGTTTGTTATCGCTATTTCTCAGGAAGTAGTGGTGAGATCTTTCTCACATCGTATATGTAGGTTCCCCTAGGTCCTTTCTTGTGTATACTAACTTTTGAGACTAAACAGATCTTTCTCATATTGCAATGATCGATTCTAATTCTTTCACATTAAGAACTGTACTAGTAAATATGTGAAATGACAAACTCACTTTGAAGGTAATGTCTTTCATACACATCAGTATCAAGTTTAGATCAAAAGTTATCTCAAGGTGCATTTACTGTTAACATGACTCGATCAAACAGATAAGAGAAAAGAAGAGAAAATATCGATCTGACAAAGAACTAATGAAGATGGTACAATGGTGGGTGCTAAGATCCCTCTGCAATCTCTGGTTTGTTGTTGTTATTATTCCGAACAATGCCAGACAAAAAAATTGTACGGAAAATATTAAAATTGACGAAAATTCAATTTTTTGGTATTTTTTCCAAAAAAGTCCCCAAACTATCAGAATGCTTAGATTTTCATAAAATCACCTCTACATAGTTGCATAACCATTTTGTGACAGTTTCAACACATTTTGCTGGTTAATTGCGAAAGTGTGGAGCCTCCTTAAAATCAGAATATGTATAAAGTAACTGACCTCAACTACACTAAATATTCTCAATCATTTTGAATTTTATCTGGTATGTTTAAGGATTTTGAACACAAAAGATTTCAAGATAGATTCTAGTGAATATGTGCTAAGATACATTAAAAAGTTCTTTAACTTACTCCTAACAATACCATGGATTCAGCACTGAAAATAAAGTCATTTATGACATACATTAGGTAAAAGTTGGTCTTTTGCCAGTGTTTTTTCTCCATTTAGAGTTTTAATACTCAATGAATGTCAAAGTTCCAGATATAGAAATATCATTAGGTCTAAATGGGAGGAGTGAACTCGACTTGTACATGTAGCCCTATCTACCTGATGCTAATTGGTTGCAATACCACGGCCAGACCAACTTAATTGACTTATGTTTAGCGGAAAGCATGATTTTTTAATGATAATCTTTCCAAGAAAACCTCGAGAAGTGCATTGTACAACAAACCGTCCAGATATAAGAGAAGAAGTTCAACTTTTCCAGAAATGGTATATGATCTGTTTTGGCTTGATAACTGAATGACTATTACGTTTGATTATCAGTATATGTGACATGATTACTGGATGAGTGATATATTGTATTGATCAGTATATGTGACATGATTACTGGATGAGTGGTATATTGTATGTATCAGTGTATGTGACATGATTACTGGATGAGTGATATATTGTGTTGATCAGTATATGTGACATGATTACTGGATGAGTGTTATATTGTATGTATCAGTGTGTATGTGACATGATTACTGATGGGTGATATATTGTATGTATCAGTGTATGTGACATGATTACTGGATGAGTGTTGTATTGTATGTATCAGTATATGTGACATGATTACTGGATGAGTGGTGTATTGTATGTATCAGTGTGTATGTGACATGATTACTGGATGAGGGATATATTGTATGTATCAGTGTGTGTGTGACATGATTACTGGATGAGTTCTATATTGTATGTATCAGTGTATGTGACATAATTACTGGATGAGTGATATATTGTATGTATCAGTGTGTATGTGACATGATTACTAAATGAGTGGTATATTGTATGTATCAGTATATGTGACATGATTACTGGATGAGTGGTATATTGTATCTATCAGTGTATGTGACATGATTACTGGCTGAGTGGTATATTGTATGTATCAGTGTATGTGACATGATTACTGGATGGTAGGTATATTGCAATGTTTAGTGCAGACTACGCAAAAAGTGATGACATCGTATACTTCAATGTTTAGTGCAGACTACGCAATAAGTGATGACATCGTATACTGCAATGTTTGGTGCAGACTCCGCAAAAAGTGATGGCATCGTATACTGCAATGTTTGGTGCAGACTCCGCAAAAAGTGATGACATCGTATACAGCAATGTTTAGTGCAGACTCCGCAAAAAGTGATGACATCGTATACTGCATTGTTTGGTGCAGACTCCGCAAAAAGTGATGACGTCGTATACTGCAATGTATGGTGCAGACTCTGCAAAAAGTGATGGCATCGTATACTGCAATGTTTGGTGCAAACTATGGAAAAAGTGATGACGTCGTATACTGCAATGTTTGGTGCAGACTCCGCAAAAAGTGATGGCATCGTATACTGCAATGTTTGGTGCAGACTCCGCAAAAAGTGATGACATCGTATACTGCAATGTTTGGTGCAAACTATGCAAAAAGTGATGACGTCGTATACTGCAATGTTTGGTGCAGACTCCGCAAAAAGTGATGACATCTGTACTGCATTATTTGGTGCAGACTCCGCAAAAAGTGATGACATCGTATACTGCAATGTTTGGTGCAGACTCCGCAAAAAGTGATGGCATCGTATACTGCAATGTTTGGTGCAGTGTTTGTAATTTTGACTTATGATCGGTTGTTGTTGCATGGTGATGAAATTGCTGTGCATTGTTGAAATTGCTGTGCATTATAATTTTGTCAGAAATGAATAAATATTTATTATCATTGAACTAATAAAGTGTCTGTCTTTTTAAATTAAATTATAGTATATATACCAAAAAAATGTGTGTACTTTGTATAAACCGTTTTGCACATTTTTGTATCAGTATATACTGTATTATAAACCAAAAAAATGATCATGTGTATTGCTTAAATGTAAATGATATGATGTTGTGATGGAAGTATAGTCTTATTTTTTTTTTATATGTCTAATGTATTTCCGATTCATTCAGAGAAAACCTTTTCTTAGGCAAAACTCAATAAAAAGTTCACTTGATCTAAATTCATGTGTAAATTTGTTTATCTTAATTTTCAGATGTCTGTCGAGGATTCTTTTGTCCCTGGGGTGGTACCTGTAAGGTGAATCAGACAACCTCACAGCCCTACTGCGAGTGTATGAGAGAGTGTCCGACCCAGGGAAGGACCTCCATCGTGTGTGGAACCAACGGCGTGACATATGTCAGCAAGTGTTGGCTACAGGTAATAAAATCACAATAGGAACCCAATACCTTCAGTCACAACACAGCTTTCTTGTGTGCACTTCATCAGACGATGTTAAATGGTCAAAATATTAGAGTTCACCATCTACAAGTTTATATCATTGTCACATTATCTGAGGCTATCTCCGCCAAAATGCTACAGAGATGTAAGGTCTTTGCAGGTCTTTTTCCTGTTGACTGTTTGTGATTGATATTGGGCCTTATTATAATCCAGCTTAAATTATTGCATACTTATTCTTAATTCCTAAACTTTGCAGTTTACTTCTGAATTATTGTTCTTATTGACATATTTCTTCCCGAAATGAGACAACAAGGCCCGATCTTGAATTTACAAACAGTTAGGTGTCAGTTATGTAAAACAGTTGCTCTTCCAAAGCTTCGTGAAGCCTAGAGTTTTATGACGTTTAATTTGTCCTGTTGTTTGCTAGGATGAAGTTCAAATAAATGACCCTGTCCTTACATTTTGTCACATATGTGCCATAAGACTACTTCTGGAGTTCATCACATTTAGAATAATTATATGTGGCCATGAACTGTCTCCTATGTGATGGGAATAACTATATGAAGCCATGAACTGTCTTCTATTTGATGGGAATAATTATATCTTACATTTTGTCACATATGTGCCATAAGGCTACTTCTGGAGTTCATCACATTTGGAATAATTATATGTGGCCATGAACTGTCTCCTATGTGATGGGAATAACTATATGAAGCCATGAACTGTCTTCTATGTGATGGGAATAAATATATGTGGCCATGAACTGTCTTCTATTTGATGGGAATAATTATATGTGGCCATGAACTGTCTCCTATGTGATGGGAATAACTATATGTGGCCATGAACTGTCTTCTATGTGATGGGAATAAATATATGGGGCCATGAACTGTCTTCTATTTGATGGGAATAATTATATGTGGCCATGACCTGTCTCCTATGTGATGGGAATAACTATATGAAGCCATGAACTGTCTTCTATGTGATGGGAATATTTATATGTGGCCATGAACTGTCTTCTATGTGATGGGAATATTTATATGTGGCCATGAACTGTCTCCTATGTGATGGGAATGACTATATGTGGCCATGAACTGTCTCCTATGTGTTGGGAATAACTATATGTGGCCATGAACTGTCTCCTATGTGATGGGAATAACTATATGTGGCCTTAAATTAACTGTCTCCTATGTGATGGGAATAATTATATGTGGCCATGAACTGTCTCCTATGTGATGGGAATAACTATATGTGGCCATGAACTGTCT